ATTGACAGATAAAGGATGTTAAGAGTGGTGTGGTGGAGAATGATGAGTATTTTATTCTACACATACGGAAGTCCTCCTAACTGATTTCTGTCTTAATCTGCTCCTTAGTCTATTTTGGTGATCCTCCACCTCACAGTTACATCCCACCTTTTGCCTTGCAAATAACATTGTTCTACTTTCTTGCCTATCTGTGTCTAGCACCTTTAAAAACCTAGTTTAAACCTTTGATCATTCACTCTCCACTTGTAGCAATGTTTTCTTGTAGATGCCAAAAAAGTGATTACTGACTTTATATAGATATATTTGCCAGGTATATTATATCTGATCACTAATAGTATTTTAGATTTTTTTGTTGTTGTTGAAACAGAGTTTTGCCCTATCGTCCAGGCTAGAGTGCAGTGGCGTGATCTCGGCTCAAGCAATTCTCCTGCCTCAGCCTCCTGAATAGCTGGGATTACAGGCACATGCCACCATGCCTGGCTAATTTTTGTATTTTTAGTAGAGACAGCGTTTTACCATGTTGGCCAGGCTGATCTCGAACTCCCGACCTCAGGTGATCCACCTGCCTCAGCCTCCCAAAGTGCTGGGATTACGGGCGTGAGCCACCGCACCCAGCCTTTTCTTTTTTCTTTTCTTTTTTTTTTTTTTTTGAGACAGAAGTTTGCTCTGTGGCCCAGGCTGGAGTGCAATGGTGCAATCTTGGCTCACTGCAACCTCCGCCTCCCGGGTTCAAGTGATTCTCCTGCCTCAGCCTTCCAAGTAGCTGGGACTACAGGTGTGTGCCACCACGCCCGGCTAATTTTTTGTATTTTTTGTAGAAACGGGGTTTCATTGTGTTAGCCTGGATGGCCTCAGTCTCCTGACCTTGTGATCCTCCTCAGCCTCCCAAAGTGTTGAGATTACAGGCGTGAGCCACCGTGCCCAGCCCCAATTTTTGTATTTTTAATAGAGACAGGGTTTCACCATGTTGGTCAGGCTGGTCTCTGACCTCAAGTGATCCACCGGCATTGGCCTCCCAAGCTGCTGAGATTACAGACGTGAGCTACTGCGCCTGACCGTATTTTAGATTTGATCAGGCTAAGAGGGTATTCTTTTGAATGTTTGTTTTTTCTCTGTTTATTTGCATTTGCTTTAGGTTAATAGTGTTTTCTTCAAATGCAGAAGATATATGTATATATAGAGAGAGATATTTGTTTTTAACCACACTAGCTCCATTTATTTTACATGAGCCGTCTTTTCAAAAATGGACAGGAGAGTGTAATGAATCCCATGTACTCATCACCCAGCGTGAACAGTTATCAACTCCTGATTGCTTATTATGTCTAAATCCTGCACTATATTATATATAATATTCCTGCATATTATTTTGACACAATCCCTGACATACCATTTTGTCTGTAAATATTTAGTGTATATCTCTAAAAGATCAGAATACTTGATGAAAATCATAATACCATTATCACACCTAAAAAAATAGTAATGTCTTAACATCACTTGATGTGCAGGTTATTGTTTACTTTTCCAAATGGAAATGAGTACCTTTTGAAGAATGTAACTTTCAAACTTTCTGGTACAGACTGCAGTTTTTAAAAGATATTTCCAGTGTTATGTTTGCTGATCAGAAGACTATCAACTTTTGATCACCATTATTATCACAGAATAGATAATATATGAATGCCTCCTTAATCTCAGACTAACCACACTCTACCACCCTACTTTCTTTTTCCATCAGAAAGCATTTTAATTTTAAAATTAGTCTAAGTCTAATAAAATTGAGAAGGTAAATATACTGAAAGTGTTATAATGAATGAATAAAAGCCAAACTTTGTGCTAATTATTTTTTAATATTCTTGTGTTATATATCACAGTTCTCTATGATCATAGCAGTTAACATTTATTGAGGACTTAATTTATTCCAAGCACTGCTAAATGCTTTGCCTATATTCTTTTACTTAATTCTTACAACAACATCCTTAAGTAGGTATGTTCACATCCCATTTTATAGGTGAAGAAATAAGGCCTAAAAAGGCTAAGTAACTTCCTTTGAGAAGCTAAGTAACTTGCCCATATTCACACAGCTAGAAATCCAGGATGTTAGATGGAAAATTCTGTTGGCAGTGCTGGTGAAAATGCAAACTGGTACAACCCCTGTGGAGGGGAATTGGGCAGTATCACATTCACCTTTACCGCTTGTCTCAGCAATGCCATTTCTAGGAATCTTCCCCAAAGATAATATTGGCAAAATATACAGAGAGGTACCTGTACACGGCTGTTCGTTGCAAGACTAATAGTTAAAAGAGTAGAAATAACTCAGATGTCTGCCATTAAATAAGCCATGATGTAGCCACACACTGAAGTACTATGTAGTTGTGTTTTTTGTTTGTTTTTTTTAAGGTACACGGTGTCACTCTGTTGCCCAGGCTGGAGTGCAGTGGTGCGATCCTAGCTCACTACAGCCTTGAAGTCTTGGGCTCAAGTGATCTTCCTGCCCAGGCTTCTGAATAACTGGCACTACAGGTGCACACCACCATGCCTGGCTAATTATTTTACTTTTTGTAGAGATGAGGTCTCTCTTTGTTGCCCAGGCTGATCTCAAACTCCTGGCTGCAAGAGATTCTGCTGCCTCAGCCTTCCAAAGTGCTGGGATTTACAGGCATGAGCCACTGTGCCTGGCCTATGTTGTTGTTTTTAAAAAGGATTGAAGACTATGGATGATAGCCATAATAAGAGAAAAAAGCCAGTAAAGAAACAGAGTATGGGCCAAGAGCAGTGGCTCATGCCTGTAATCCTAGCACTTTGGGAGGCTGAGGCAGGTGGATCACCAGGTTAGTAATTCAAGACCAGCCTGGCCAAGATGGTGAAACCCCATCTCTACTAAAAATACAAAAAGTAGCTGGGCGCGGTGGCAGTCACCTGTAATCCCAGCTACTTGGGAGGCTGAGGCAGGAGAATCGCTTGAACCCAAGGGATGGAGGTTGCAATGAGTTGAGATCATGCCACTGTACTCCAGCCTGGGCGACAGAGTGAGTCTCAAAAAAAAAAACAAAAAAAAACAATATGTTTTATGTAAGAATGGAATGGGGATACAAATATAGACATATCAGCTTATGTACTTAAAGATAGGTAGATAAACTGTAAAAGTAATCATATGTAGGAGATAGTAAGGGACAGGGTTAGAAGTTAACAGGTTTCTGAACATATCTTGTTTTGTAGATTTGACTTTAGAATCCAGAAAATGTTTTATATAATTATAAAACTAAATCAAAAAATTTTAAAACCTTGAAAGTCAAAAGCAAAATGAAACAAATGGACCTAATATGTGTCAAATTGATAGCATAACTACACAGGAATAATTTTCAAAGTGTCATTAAAACAGTAATTTCGGTCTGGGCTCTGTGGCTTATGCCTGTAATCCCAGCACTTTGAGAGGATGAGGCAGGCAGATCACTTGAGTTCAAGACCAGCCTGGGCAATATGGTGAAACCCCATCTCTACAAAAAAATTCAAAAATTCACCAGTCATGGTGGTACGCACCTGTGGTCCCAGCTACAGCAGGGGGTGTTGAGGTGGGAGGATCACTTGAGCCCAGGAGGTCGAGGCTGCAGCGAGCTGTAATTGCACCGCTATACCCCAGCCTGGGTGACAGAGCAACACCTTGTCTCAAAAATAAAAAGTTTAAAAAAAGAAAGCTAGAGTTTAAGCCACGTATATGTGACTCCGGAATGTTAACTCCTAACCATTGTACCGTTGTTTCCCATAATGTGGTTATATCACCATATGAGGGGATTTCTGTGGCACCTAGAAAGGACTTTTTATTGTAATAGCTAAGTATTTATTTTAATATTACCTTCTCTTTGTAGTAAGAAAACTACTGAAGTTCTCCATTTAGAAGTTTTCCATTTAAAAGTATGGTGATATTTAAAAGTGTGCTGATAATAAGCATACTTTAAAAATAAACGGAAGTAAAAAATTGGCTTAAAGAAAAATAGATTGGCTGGGTGTGGTTCTGGAGGCTGGGAAGTCCAAGATCGAGGTGCTGGCATCTGGTGAGGACTGCTTTCTGCTTCCAAAGTGAAGCCTTGGCCGGGTGAGGTGGTTCATGCCTGTAATCCCAGCACTTTGGGAGTCCGAGGTGGGCGGATCACCTGAGGTTAGGCATTCAAGACCAGCCTGGCCAACATGGTGAAACCCATCTCTACTAAAAATACAAAAAAATAGCTGAGCATGGTGGCAGACGCCTGTAATCCCAGCTACTCGGGAGGGTGAGGCAGGAGAATCACTTGGACCCCAGAGGCAGAGGTTGCAGTGAGCTGAGATCACGCCACTACACTCCAGCCTGGGCAACAGGGCAAGACTCCATCTCCAAAAAAAAAAGGAGAAAAGAAGAATAGTTCATAAATAATAGTAGTGGTAGAATTGAGATGTGACAAAAATTGTATGTCATGACAAAGTTGGAAACTTTACTAGGCTGTACTGATTCCATTGGTGTGAATGATGAAATAAGCATTTAATAAGCTTTACTTATATCCCTAATATCCACACTTTAATTTTATGCCAGATTCTTTTGAAAAGAGAAATATTTTGCATAAAACCCTGTGTGTGTGTGTGGGGGGTGTGTGTGTGTATATATCTATATGTTTTCAAAGGCCTTAACCATTATAAGAAATTACAGGCCGGGCACAGTGGCTCACACCTGTAATCCAAGCACTTTGGGAGGCCGAGGCAGGTGGATCACCAGGTCAAGGGATTGAGACCATCCTGGCCAACATGGTGAAACTCCATCTCTACTAAAAATACAAAAATTAGCTGGACATGGTGGTGTGCACCTGTAGTCCCAGCTACTTGGGAGGCTGAGGTAGGAGAATCGCTTGAACCTGGGAGGCAGAGGTTGCAGTGAGCCGAGATCATGCCACTGCACTCCAGCCTGGTGACAGAGAACAAAACCCCACCCCAAAAAAAAAAAAAAAACTTACAGAGGACCTTTTTTATTGTTCTTACAGAATGTCATACCCAGGCTATCCCCCAACAGGCTACCCACCTTTCCCTGGATATCCTGTAAGTATTGCCACTTAATACCTCACATCCTTAAAACAGGTGGTGTTTGGGACTGGCCATGTCAGATCTTACCGATATGCTAGAGCAGGGGTCGTAAATTCAGATGCTCACAGGTACTGAGTAGAACAAGTGAGCGAAGGCGGTTGTGTGGGGAACTAGAGAGGTCTTGCTTTGTCTATTGAAAGCTGGCAGGTGCTTAGCACCAGCCCTGTGTAGCCATGGTGGGAGGCACACTTATCTTTGCTAGATACTCCAGCCTTTCAAGTAAAGCCAGAAACTTGGGTTCTATATGAAATTGTCCAAAGTTTCAAAATTTAGGAGTTAGTTTTAAAAAATGTTAACTGCTGTACGAGCCAATAAAACACAGATGTAAGCAAAATCCATCCCATGAATCACTGGTTCTTTTTTTTTTTTTTTTTAATACCCTTGAGTCATAGTATCACTGCGTCTTAACCTTTGTGTTAGAATGTTTAAAATAATTAATGGCTTGGCTTGACCCAGAGATAAATTGCAGTGGATTTATAGTTCTTAGACTTGGAGTACGTTTTATAAATGTGCTACTAAGTTCCACCTTGTTGATAGCTATACTACTCTGAGGACTAAGAGCTGAGCCATAAGTAAGAATTGTGCATTTCAGGTTTTTTTTTGTTTCGTTTTATTTTTTGTCTTTGAGACAGAGTCTCGCTCTGCGCCCAAGCTGGAGTGCAGTGGTGTGATCTCAGCTCACTGCAACTTATGACTACTGGGTTCAAGTGATTCTCCTGCCTCAGCCTCCCGAGTAGCTGGGATTACAGGTGCCACCACCATGGCCAGCTGATTTTTGTATTTTTAGTAGAGAAGGAGTTTCACCATGTTGGCCAGGCTGGTCTCAAACTCCTGACCTCAAATGATCTGCCCACCTTGGCCTCCCAAAGTGCTGGGATTATAGGCGTGAGCCATTACGCCCGGCCACATTTCAGTTTTTTGTTTTTCTTTTTTTTGAGACGGAGTCTTGCTCTGTCACCAGGCTGGAGTGCAGTGGTGCGATCTCAACGCACTGCAACCTCTGCCTCCCGGGATTCAAGCGATTCTCCTGCCTCAGCCTCCCGAGTAGCTGGGATTACAGGTACATGCCACCACGCCCAGCTAGTTTTTGTATTTTTAGTAGAGATGGGGTTTCACCATGTTGGCCAGGATGGCCTCGATTTCCTGACCTCATGATCCACCCACCTCAGCCTTCCAAAGTGCTGGGATTACAGGCATGAGCCACTTAGCCCTGCCCACATTTCAGTTTTATACTCATAACTGTGGGGCTGCTATCTAACCCTGGGAGAATAGCAAGAGGGGTCTATACAAGTTTGTGATATGTTTATCCTTATGCAAAGTGATTATATAGCTCTTGTGAATTTATCACAGGAGAGATGAGAATTATGGATATGTTCCCAAGTCCCTATGTATTAAACAGGACTTTAGTAACTATTTCAGTCAGCGTAGGCTAATTGCTAAAACAGACAACTCCCGAATCTCAGTGACTTAACACAATGAAAAAAAAATGTATTTCTTTCTTCAGTCTCCTGGAAGTCAGTAGTGGATAGGGGGTGGGTGGGACGAGGCTTTGTTTCATGCAGTGTTTTGGGTTTCCAGGCTCCTTCCTTATTCTGAGCCTACCATCCTCTAGCACTTTGGAGTCCTCTGCTGGATCCTCTGCTTATGGGTGGCAGATGAAGGAAGAGAGAGAACATGGAGGATTTGCCAGAGGTTTTTAGGGGACAGATTTAGAAAGTGGTATATGTCACTTCTGTCTATGTTCATTCACTGATATTCATTCATGTGGTCCGACCTAACTGCAAGGGGGTCTGGGAAATGTAGTCTGTATAGCTTTGTGGCCTGGGGAGAAATAGTTCAGTGAATATGCGACAATCTCTGCCTGTCTACATATTACTGCACTGAACTGTGAGGTCCAAAATGTCACATCCTGTGTGTGATGTGATATACAGGTTACCTTTTTCATGTTTAAATATTATGTAACAGATCCAGATGTGTTGCAAAAGAGCCTCAAATTCCTTTGTTTAGGGTATAGAGGAGGATTTTTCTTATATTTGTAGATGCTGGGAAAATGAAGGAACTAATGAGGTTTTTTATTTTTTTTTTCTTAAAACCTTGAGGTTTGTAAAGAACCCTGTTCTGACTCCCAAATAGAGAAGCAGACCCCTCTTGCCTGACTCAAGTAGAATTAAATTTAACTGAATTCTGACAAACAAGTGTCCTTACAAACTGGTATACTGATAAACTAGTATAAGATTCCAGGATTTCTAATGAGACTTTTAAAAAGTGAAAGAATGAGCTAGACCTTAATAAGAACCTCTGTTTGTTCCTTATTTTTAGATGGGTCATAGTTCTCTATGATCGCATTTGTTTAAAAATTATTCTGATTTTTCAGCCTGCAGGTCAGGAGTCATCTTTTCCCCCTTCTGGTCAGTATCCTTATCCTAGTGGCTTTCCTCCAATGGGGGGAGGTGCCTACCCACAAGTGCCAAGTAGTGGCTACCCAGGAGCTGGAGGCTACCCTGCGCCTGGAGGTTATCCAGCCCCTGGAGGCTATCCTGGTGCCCCACAGCCAGGGGGAGCTCCATCCTATCCCGGAGGTGAGTTATGGGTTGCGGAATTAGTAATGATTGGGATTGCTGTAGCACTTTTTCCTTCTCCCTTTATCCTCTTCATTCCTGCTTGTCTTGTGTGAGGTCAAGTCGCTCTGACCTAGCTGGCAAGATGGAGGGATGAAGATTCTCTGAGGGCATGAAAGCTGGGAGCAGTTTCAAAAATTCCACTGTGAAGGGACTTGGAATAAATTTCATGGCAATAAAGGATCAATATGTAACACTTTGCTTGTTTGTAGTCTTAAGACCTGATTAAGACATTTCAATTAGCAAGACTGTGACCTTTAGGTCAGCTTTTTTCAAAGGTAAAAAAGACCCCTAAAAAACAACAACAAAAAAACCTTAGCATTTTTGTATTTTAAGTTAGTAAGGAAAAGTAATAAAGTAAAATTTTGGCTGGGTGCGGTGGCTCACACCTGTAATCCCAACACTTTGGGAGGCTGAGGTGGTTGGATCACTTGAAACCAGGAGTTTGAGACCAGCTTGGCCAACATGGTGAAACCCGTCTGACTAAAAATATGAAAATTAGCTGGGTGTGGTGGCGCATGCCTGTAATCCCAGGTACCTGGGAGGCTGAGGCAGGAAAATCACTTGAACCTGGTAGGTAGAGTTTGCAGTGAGCTGGTATTGCGCCACTGAACTCCAGCCTGGGCAACAGAGTGAGACTGTGTCTCAAAAAAAAAAATAATAAATAAGATAAAAATTTAAAAACTTGTTTTTTACTGGATAATTTGAAGTTTTGAATCTAGATGAAAAGGGACTGCTATTATAGCATTAATAGCATATTTTTTCCACTTTTAACAATAGACATTTTTCTAAGGGTTTTCCTGCAATCATGAGAACTGTACTATAGTTTATTGACCTGTTCTTTTCTCTAGTTCCTCCAGGCCAAGGATTTGGAGTCCCACCAGGTGGAGCAGGCTTTTCTGGCTACCCACAGCCACCTTCACAATCTTACGGAGGTGGTCCAGCACAGGTCCCACTACCTGGTAGGTACCAGCTGTCCAGACAAAAACGGTATCATGATATTTTGAATTTTAAAATCGCCATTGAGAGAACTTAGTTTTTATTTGAGATAATCTGCAATAAATGTTTAGATATTTCCATAAATAATTTTAAACATAATGGTTTTATGAAATGTATTACATTGATGGAAAAGTTTAATCAGTAAAATAGAGATAAAGTCACACTTTTTCTATTAAAAAAAATCTGTCCCAAAGCCAAAAAGGAAGCCTTCAGGAACTTCTCTGCCCACTCCTGTACCACTAGTGAAACCACCCCCAGAACTATATTATGATAACCATTCCAGATGGAATCAGAATTTAATCTGGTTCAAGTGTGAAAAAAGTGTTATTTGTGAGGATCTTTTGTAGATCTTTTGTAGAACGTGGAATATTAAAAAGGTTCTTATGACCAAAGTTGGTTTTAGATTCAGTAAATTATATTTTTTTAAAATTATCTTCATGAATATCATAGTGTAAATGTTCTTGTATGTTTCCATATTCATAGTCATCAATGCTGTTTTGAAAAATTAAAACATATAAGACCTGTTGCTGTATTATTATTCTTTTTAACATATAGGTGGCTTTCCTGGAGGACAGATGCCTTCTCAGTATCCTGGAGGACAACCTACTTACCCTAGTCAGGTATTTTGTTCCTACCTTTTAAGCTCAGTCTAGGTAGTTAGATAAAGAAGGAACCTTCCCTTTGCTGAGGTTTCCATGAGTCAGAAGAAATGGCCCATTATTGTAATGGAAGACTAAAGTCTTTGCTTCTAATAGACTCCATACTTTCTTTGGTCCATCTGCATTAATAGTGTCCTGATGACTTTGAGAAGACAAGCATAGGTCCAATCTCATAGGTAATGATTCTCACAACTTTATCCTAGAAATTCACCTGGGCTCTTGGTTTTAGTTCTTTTTCCTTTTCCCTGCCCTTACCAGCAGTTATACCTATGAATTTGGGTGGCTGGGGATTGGTATTTCTGACAGTGATTTATGTAGGGTGGTTTTGTTTCCCATTTTTACCTTTATAACTTTTCACTCTTTTTTCAGATTAATACAGAATCTTTTCCTTCCTATCCTGTTTTCTCTCCTGTTTCTTTGGATTATAGCAGTGAAGTGAGTAAGGTTTTCTAATGTTCACTAATCACTAGGTCCTTTATATGTGTGCCTTTGTTTCTGATTCTCATGTACTTGTCTCTCATTACTTCCTTAAGGGCTCAACTGTATCTATTTTATCTTTATGTTCCTGTAATGGTTGGTAGGGCTTTAGACATGGTAGCCAGTTAGTCTGTTGAATGGATTTTCTCAGTAGCTGCAGAGTTTCCCATATATTAAATATTTGCCCTACTATGTATGGCTGCTGCTTATTTATTTATTTATTTATTTTTGAGACGGAGTTTCACTCTTGTCACCCAGGCTGAAGTGCAGTGGCACGACCTCAGCTCACTGCAACCTCCACCTCCCAGGTTCAAGTGATTTTCCTGCCTCAGCCTCTGGAGTAACTGGGATTACAGGTGCACGCCACCACACCTGGCACATTTTTTGTATTTTTAATAGAGACGAGGTTTCACCATGTTGGCCAGGCTGGTCTCGAACTCTTGACCTCAGGTGATCCACCTGCCTCGGCCTCCCACAAGTGCTGGGATTGCAGGCATGGGCCACTGCGCATGGCCTGGCTTCTTATTTTAATCCCAAATTTTATTCTTAAATTGCCTTGTTAATTTTTTTATAGCCTATGCAAGTTACTAGGAACATAATAAGCAGCATACTTTTATGCTTACTTTGATTTTGATTTTCTTATTAATTTCTATATTGGATATTCATGGATATCTAGCATTTTCAAGCTTGTTTTAGGGTAGGAGAAGGATTCTAGTATTGGAAGAGGAACACCTTAGTGATTTTTTTAGCTCACTTTGAGGTATGTGAGCTCCAGAGAGGTTGAGAAACTTGTCTAGGGCCACAAAACTAGTGAAGGACAAAGCTGAGAAGATTCTAGTCTATATCTTCTGCCTTCTAGACCAGTGGTCTCTCTCTTATACAAAGGTGCTTTGCTGATACAGTCATGTAAGTTGCTTTCAGTCCTTTTTTTCATTGTTGAAGTTGTTTGCCAATCATGTTATAAACCTGTAATCACTTTTGTTATGAAAATTTTGATTGTAGTTTAAGCATGCTTATATTTTTAGGGAAATCATTTTATGACTGAATATGAATGATTTTTAAACATAAAACACTAAAAGTAAAGCACATGTATGTATGCAATTTTTTTTTATTGTTATTATACTTTAAGTTCTAGGGTACATGTGCACAACGTGCAGGTTTGTTACATATGTATACGTGTGCCATGTTGGTGTGCTGCACCCATTAACTC